CCCTCTCCCTTCCTCTCTCTGAAATCAATAAAGATATATTAAATTTTTTTAAAAGTGCTTTGTACATGGTGTAGAACTACTATTTTCCAAACATTGATGCATAATAGAATCACTTGGAAAGCTTTTAAAAGGATTGATCCCTAACCAGGCTGGTGTTGCTCAGTAGTTGACCTGTGAACAAAGGTCACCAGTTCGATTCCCAGTCGGGGCACATGCGTGAGTTTTGGGCTTGATCCCTAGTGCAGGAGGCGGCTGATCAATGTCTCATGGATGTTTCTAAAAATCTCTCTATGCCTCCCTCTTCCTCTATCTCTAAAATCAATAAAAATATTTTTTTTAAAAAATAAAAGGTTTGATTCCTAGACCTCATCTGAAAATCTAAATCATTTTAGGAAATAAGGTCTGGGCATATGTATTTTTTCAAAGCTCTTCAGAAGCAAACAAATGTTTAGGAACTATAGGTGTAGAGTATCATGGAGCTGTTTTTCAGTGCCAAGTGCCTTCTCATTGTTGAGCATACTCTAGGCTGCTTCCTTCAGCGCCTTGGGTGTAAGCTCCCATCATTTCTCAAGGGAAAGATTAGATATGGTTAGTCTGTTGTCATGAGACATCTCGGTGCAAGAAAGAATTTTGTATTCAAAACTTTCTGCTTTTGAAAAGACTTAAGGTTTACCCAAATAGAAAGGAAGTAGAGTGAAAGGTCACTAAAACAGTTATTTTGTCCTTAGTGGGAGTCCTGGTCAAATCCTATGTGGACCACTGCATTGCTTTGGTAACTTTAGGGACGCAGATGAGAGTTAACTTTGGTTATAATATTATAAAGCTGGTTTGGTATAAACGGGATTTTGTGTTTTGTTTTTTTAATCTGGCCTGTGACCCAGACAGTTTTTTCCCCTTGGGCCCAGATGATATTTGATTTATTCCAGAATCTACCATGTAGACTGAAGAACCAGTTTAGTTCACTGCTTATAATAATGTTATCACCTTTATAGTACTTAATAAATTATAAACATACAGTATGTCTAAATACAGTAAGTGCATCAGGGTAAGCAGGAAAAGTGCTGTGATCTCATTTTACAGATGAGAAAATTGCTCCTTAGACATTAACTGACTTGTCTAATAAAAAAGACAAGGACAGAACCAGGACTGGGATCCAGGGTTTTTGATCCCAGTGCTTTTTTTGTTTCCTTATTTTGGTGTAAATTTGGCCTCAAATTTTGGCCAGAATCAAATCACAGAATGTAAAGTTTGTTCATTTTCATGGATTTTCTTCCACATACTCTTGCAGGCACTGTGTCGGGCAGAAGATGAAGAGGATATCCGTGCGGCCACCCAGGCCAAGGCTGAACAGGTGGCTGAGCTTGCAGAATTCAATGAGAATGATGGGTTTCCTGCTGGCGAGGGAGAGGAGGCTGGTCGGCCTGGGGCTGAGGATGAGGAGATGTCCCGGGCTGAGCAGGAAATTGCTGCGCTTGTGGAACAGGTCAGTGTTGGACCCACTAGTTCTCAACCTCACCCTCTCCAACTCCTCCCTCTGGACTCTGTGACCCTGCTATCTTCCCTGGTAAAAATAATCATTTTTTGATTGGGCCCTGGGCTCACCACCACTGCTCCTCTCCACAGCTGACCCCTATTGAGCGCTATGCTATGAAATTCCTGGAAGCCTCACTGGAGGAGGTGAGCCGAGAGGAACTCAAGCAGGCAGAAGTGAGTAGTTCTAGGGGGTGGGATTAGAAGTGGGAAGCTACTGCTTTCTACCCACTTACCACCTTACTTCCCTCTCCTTGACCACACCATGGGCTCTCTCATTGGCAGGAGCAAGTGGAAGCTGCCCGCAAGGACCTGGACCAAGCCAAGGAGGAGGTGTTCCGCCTACCCCAAGAGGAGGAGGAGGGGCCAGGGGCTGGGGATGAGGTTTCCTGTGGGACTGGTGGAGGCAGCCACCGGCGAAGTAAGAAGGTCAAAGCCCCTGAAAGGCCAGGAACTCGAGTCAGTGAGCGTCTTCGTGGAGCCCGGGCTGAGACTCAAGGGGCAAACCACACTCCTATCGTATCCACCCATCATACCCGCAGCACCTCCACACCCCCCCGCTGCAGCCCTGCCAGGGAGCGAGTTCCCAGGCCATCGCCTAGGCCTCGACCCACTCCAACTTCAGCTACTGCAATTCCTGTCCCAATCCCTGCCCCAACCCCTGTTTCAGCTCCAAATTCATTAACTATGCTTCCTGTCCATATCTTGCCTTCTCCCCCACTTCCTCCACAGACTCCTCCCTCTTGTTCTTCTGCTGGCACACCTCCTCTTGCCGGTACTCCTCCACCAGCTCATACTCCACCTCCTGCTCAAACCTCTGTCTTAACTCCTACCTCCCCTCTCTTGCTTGGTCTACCTTCTGTGCCCATCTTCCCCCCAGTCACCAACCTCCCCTTGGGCATGGGGCCTGAGGCAGAGCTATGTGCACAAGCATTGACATCTACTGAGTCCCTGGAGCTGGCTGATATGGCCAGTTCTGAGACTTCCCCTCTTACTTGTATGCCCCCTAAGGATTTGTTGCCAGTTGCTGTTGAGATCCTGCCTGTATCAGAGAAGAACCTTTCTCTCACCTCTTCTGCACCTAGCCCAATCCTGGAGGCTGGCAGTTTCCCCAGTGGTCAAGAGCAGGAGGTACCAGAGCCTGCTGAGGGGACCATCCTCACAGTGCTGCCTGATGGTGAGGAGGTGCCCATGTGTCTGAGTGAGAACAGTGGGCTGGCGCTCCCACCTTCAGCAGTATCTGATGAACTACTTCAGTTGCCATTGGAGGCTGACAAGAACTCAGAAGAGCTGGTGGAAGCCCGGACCCCAACATCCAGCTCACAGAAGCCACCACAGGAGCTTGGTTCAGCTGAGGTTACAGCTCCATCAACCTCATCCTCAGCCACCTCCTCACCTGAGGGTTCTTCGCTTGCCCGGCCCCCTCGGCGTCGCACCAGTGCTGATGTAGAAATTAGGGGTCAGGGGGCTGGTCGGCCCGGGCAGCCTCCAGGCCCCAAAGTGCTTCGCAAGTTGCCAGGACGGCTAGTGACTGTGGTAGAGGAAAAGGAACTGGTGAGGCGACGGCGACAGCAGCGGGGAACTGCCAGCATCCTAGTGCCTGGGGTCTCTGAGACTGGTGCCAGCCCAGGAAGCCCATCTACTCGCAGCATGTTGGGGCCAGAATCCTCACCTCCCATCAGTGGGCCCTGTGAAGCTGCTCCCCCATCCACACTGCCCACCCCAACCCAGCAGCCCTTCATAGCTCGCCGTCACATTGAGCTGGGGGTGACTGGAGAGGGCAGCCCAGAGAATGGAGAAGGGGCACTGCTTGCCATCACCTCTCCTGCTATGAAACGTCGGAGGGGGAGGCCTCCCAAGAAGAACAGGTCTCCAGCAGATGCTGGACGAGGGGTGGATGAGGCACCTTCATCCACCTCTAAGGGAAAAACCAATGGGGCTGACCCAGTTCCTGGAGCTGAGACCCTTATTGTTGCAGAGCCTGCCCTGAGCCCCCAGCTTATTCCTGGGCCTCAGCCTCTTGGACCCCAGCTAATTCATAGACCAGAGCCCATCATCCTATCGCCTGTGGAGAAAAGAAGGCGTGGGCGGCCCCCTAAGGCACGAGATTTACCTATTCCTGGGACCATTTCCTCTCCAGGGGATGACAGCTTAGAGAGCCGGACACAGCCACTCCCAATACCACCACCTGTGCCACCACTCCCACCACTCCTAGCCTGTCCCATTGCTACTGTCGCCAACACTGTCACCACTCTCACCATTTCAACATCCCCACCTAAGCGGAAGCGGGGCCGACCTCCCAAGAATCCACCATCACCCCGGCCCAGCCAGCTCCCTGTCTTGGATCGTGACTCATCTTCTGTCCTTGAGAGCTGTGGATTGGGGAGGCGGCAGCAACCCCAGGGCCAGGGGGAGAGTGAGGGTAGTTCCTCTGATGAGGACGGAAGCCGCCCCCTCACCCGCCTGGCCCGCTTGCGCCTCGAAGCAGAGGGAATGCGGGGACGAAAGAGTGAAGGGTCCATGGTGGTGGCTGTAATTCAAGATGACCTGGATTTAGCAGATGGTGGGCCAGGCGGGTTAGAATTGTCACCTCCCGTGGTCTCATTAGCTCCAAAACTGCGCTCCACCCGGCTGCGTCCAGGTTCTCTAGTTCCCCCACTAGAGACTGAGAAGGTGCCTCGCAAACGGGCAGGTGTCCCAGTTGGTAGGGGTCCTGGGCAGGCAAAGCGGGGCCGCCTGCAGTCCCCAAGTCCCTTGGGGCCTGAGGGTTCAGTAGAGGAGTCTGAGGCTGAAGCCTCAGGTGAGGAAGAGGAAGGGGATGGAACCCTACGCCGAAGGTCTGGCTCCCACCGCCTTGGTGGGACAACCAACCAAGGGGACCAGCGTATCCTGCGCAGCAGTGCCCCTCCCCACCCGGCTGGCCCCACTGTTAGTCACAGAGGCCGAAAGGCCAAGACGTGAGTGGGCTGCCCCTCCACCTAGGCTTTCCACCATGGCCCCTCTCCCTTTACTACCAGGCCTGACTCTGTTAACCACTACTTGAAGTCTTGAGGGGGAAAGCCTCCCAGAGACAGGGGCCTTCTCCCTTCTTTCCACCAAAGTAGGGGGTAGGAAACTGGTTGTCATGGAAATGGGGCACTTCAGATATTCCCTTCCCTTCCACCCCACATGGCTGGGCAGTGTTAAGGGTGGCAAGATAGTCTCTGTCCCCACCCCCTTGTACTTGATTCCCCAGCAATCTCTCACAGCCCCCCACCCTTAGGGGAAGGGGGAGGGGCTTCTCTACAATAAGGTTTTTTTTCTTTCTTTTTTTTTTTTTTTTTTTTAAGAAGAAAAAATAATAAACTTAGTTTCTGTATGAGCATCCGCGTAAGGAGGCTTCTGATTTTCTGGTCTGGTGGAGGGTTGGGTGGGAACTTGGGCATCTTTTTTTCTTTCTCTTGCTCCTGCCAAGATCCTAGTACCTCGTCTCTAACTCAGAATCACATACCTTGGAGGTAAAAATGTCCACCCAGGAAGAGGGAAGATTTGGCAAATCTGATCTGGTAGGGTGCCTTTCCCTAAAGTTTTAGTTTTCAGACACACTTTTCCTCTCCTCCCTTTTATTCTCTCAGTTCCTGGACTTTTCCCTCAGAGCCCTCTGATGCCTTAGACTTTTCCCTGCTTTTATCTTCCTTGCTCAGGTGCTTTTACTCCTTTTCCAGAAGGCAGGCATCACTACCTTGAGTTGCCCCCATCATTTTCCTCCCTTGCCTCCATCTAGCCAAACTGGTTTGAGTCAGCTACACCCCCATATGAGCTCCTGGGGCTCTTCAGGTGGTGGCTGGCCACCCAGCCCCACCCCTGGGCTTGGCTTGGAGCCCTGAGTCAGCTCCATGTCTACCCAAGCCAAATCAAACCTGAGGCAGAAGCCGAAACTCACAGTACCTCAAGGCCTGTAGCCAGGTAAGAGCCCCTGTTCATTTTACATTTTCTCTGACCTCAACTCCCTGGACCTTCTCCTTGTGTTCTCTCCTTCATGTCTGTATCTGTTTACTTCATCTGAGTTCTTTTCTCATATCCACTTCAGCTATGTGGCACATATTCTTTGCTTATCTTGCCTCTTCTCTTTACCCTTTGTGTCCTGTGTTGTGTTCAGAGAACTGCAAATGGTTTCATTTTTTCTAGGATGTAGAGGAATGGTTAGAAATGGTGGTTTGGTGTCAAAGCTCAGAGGACCTGAGAAATAGGGGAATGAGCAATGATTAAGTAGGGCATCATGCAGGTTTCTGTGTGGGTTATGAGGTCATTGTTTTGTGTGGCCTGGGTTGAAATGGAGACAAGAGATAGCAAGAAGTCAGCATAGCAAAGGAGGCCCCAGTTTGGGGAGGTAAGGTCTTTCTGATGTTCTGTTTCCTCAACTATAAAGAGAGCTTAGGTGGGTCCTTTTCCCCTCCTTTCTCCCATCCCCAGAATTGTTTTCACATGAAATGACTGTTTTGCTTAAGTAGGAAACAGGGCCTAGGGTGCCATTCTCTGATCTCTCCTTATGATCAGGGGCAGTATCTGAGGAACTTCTGGGGAATTGTAGTGCCCTTTGAAATACAGTTTAAAAATCAGACTTTGATAGTCTCAGATTCCTAGCAGCTGTTGAGATTCTATTTCCTGCTCAGTGTGCACTTGTCATTCTGCTTCTCCCCACTTGTCAAAACAATAATAGAGATAATGCTGTGTTCACAGTGGCATGCCTTTAAGGACTCGAAATCTTAGACTGAGGAAAGGATTCCATCCACACATTTCCTCTCTTGGTCTGAATCATTAGAAGAATTCCCCAGTAAGGCAGCATTCTTGAGAGTTGGGCTAGGCCACAAGGACATGATCAAGAGGGGTGGAGTCTGAGCAAGCCAGGCCAAGGGCTCAGTTTTGGGGCTTAAAAGTACCTTGACTATATCGCCCACAGGTGATGGAGGACAAGGAGAATGCAGTGGAGATCTTGGTGAGCAACACGGAAGCTGCTCATTCTCCATCCCCCATTCGCTGCTGCTGGCTCCGCCTCCGCTACTTGGCAGCTACTAGCATTATCTGTGGCTGCTCTTGCCTGGGAGTCATGGCCCTTGTGTTTGCCATCAAGGTGAGGAATGCAGTTCCTATGGGAGCAGGAGGGTGGGTGTAGTAAGGCAGTGGTTTCGTATCTATCTACATTGACCAAACAGTTACTAAGTGCCTGTCAGAGCTTGGTGTTGCGCCTTGTGCCAGAAGTAAGAATAAGACATGGTTCCTGTTGTCAGCAGTCCCACAGTCTAATGAAAGAGACAGCTGTGAAAATGGATAATTACTAATGGAATGTAGCTCATTGGTACTATGGTAGAGGAAGCATAGGGTATTCTGGGAGTTGGGGGAGGAGATACAGGGTGGGACAAAAGTAGGTTTCCAGTTGTGGGTATGTGAAACAGTTTATTCCTGTATTATTTATTGTATTAATTTCCACACAACTGTAAACCTACTTTTGTTCCACTGTGTATGTGTGTGATTACATGTGTGTAGAGTAGAGTAAGCGGCAGGAAAGGCATCCTGGAGAGGTTAGGTGACAGGAAAATAACCTTAAAGGATGAGTGAGTTAGGGTGAAAGGCATTCCAGGTAAAGGAAGAAGTGTGTACGAGGGCCTGGACTATTAGTTCAGCATAACTGAAGAAGTGTGTACAAAGGCCTGGACCAGTGAGAAATGGTGAGAGATGAAGCCAGGGGGCCCAGATTCCCAAGGAGTATGGTCTTTATCTTGAAAATACTGGAGAACCATTCAAGGGTTTTTGCAGAGGAGAGAGACATGGTCAGATTTGTGTTTTAGTAAGATCCATTCTCAAGATCTACATAGAGAATTAATTAGAAGAGGGAAAACTGGAGGCAGCTGAACAGTGATGAGAGCAGTCTGTAGACATCTAGGAGAAGCTATAGGGGTTTTGAGAGGACTTCATCACTTCAAAATACCTAACGGAAACTGCACATATACCTTTTGAAAGGCCACACAGACTAACTTAAACATCATGCTTGAATTTTCTCAGCCCTGGTTATATTTTAACCATTAGAAACTATTCCTGTTGTCATAAAAATTTCTGGGTTTTATTAGGGTAAAATCATAAAAAGAATTCTTAATAATGAAAAGATGAGGCCCATTGGACTAATGAGAATGGGATGTTATTTGGACATGAGTGAAAAATACTCCAAGATAGCTCACTATATCTTGCCAAGAATTCCAAATTTGGATGAATCTGGGATGAGTAGAAAAAGATAGGGAATAAAAGGATTGAAAAGTATTTTACCATATATGATCTTGTGAGCTAACAATGGTCACCCTGAAAAGTAGGCAGAGCAGAGTGGATAACATTTTGCAGATGAGGCATGAGAAATAGAAACTGAAAAGGACGGTAGAGGATTTGGGTGTGAGGTTTTGAGCTATGACAAGGATGGAGGATTGGAGTGGGGCAGTGGGCACGTTGGGACAGAATCAGGGGGAGAACCTAACCAAAAACCTGCCCCCACAGGCGGAAGAGCGGCATAAGGCAGGCCACTCCGAGGAAGCAGTGCACTGGGGGACCCGGGCCCGGAGGTTCATCCTGGCCAGCTTTGCTCTCTGGCTTGCCGTCCTCGTTCTGGGCCCCCTACTTCTGTGGCTGCTCTCTTACGCCATCGCCCAAGCTGAGTGACCATGGGTGGCCTCTGCTGAGAGCTGAGACCTGGATCCTTCCTGGCTGGAGGACGGTGCCTCTCTCAAAGGGCTTTGGAAGAGGTCTTCCAGCCCTTTATAAAAGGAAACGGCAACTGAGACTGATGAGGGGAGGCCAGCCTGCTCTGTTCTTTCAGTGTTCATCATTCCCTGTTCCCCCCAATTTACCCCATCCTTGGGCCCTCTACCCAGAGGTGGGGTTGAAGACCAGGCCTGCTTTTATTAGAATTTGTTTTGTAATAAAAACCTTTTTTAGTGGTGAAATGCTGCTCCTGTCTACTTGTTCTTCCCCTGCTTTTCTCTGGAACCTTGGTGAGAGCCAGAGTGGACAGGACTGATGGCAGACATCTGCATCTCCCCTTACCTAGTTGCTCCATGAGAAGATCTTTTCTTCTTCTTCTGGAAGTGTCCCTTCTTGGAAAGACCTCAGCTTCTTCCTTACACATGAAGGGAGACCCAGGGGCCAGAGAGCAAAGAGTAGTAGCACCAGCTACTATTTATTGAATGCTTGATATATTCCAGGCCGTGTTCTAAACACTATATATCTTAACTTCTTCAGTTCTCACAGTCACTCAATAGTAGGTAACACTGCTCATTTTATAGTTGAGGAAACAGGTACAGATTATAAGGTTACACAGCTAGTAAGTGGCAGAGCTGGGATTGAACCCAGACAGTTTGGCTCCGGAGTTGAGAGAGCAGTAAAAGGATTGGATACAGCAAGCATGTATATGGAGATTTCTATGATTATAATGAATTTTCATATCCTTTATCTTGGGCTTAATATTTTAAACATTTTTAAAATGAGATATATCACATATACAGGAAAATATCCAAAACAAATAAACAGCTAAATAAATTAACACAAAGCAAACATCTGAAAAACTACTATTCAATCAAGAAATGAACATTGCCAACACTCCAGAGCCTCCCTTATAATCCCTTCTAATCACTACTACTTCCTTTCTTCCCACAGGTAACTATCATTCTGACTTCAAACAATTTAGTTTTGCCTGCATTTGAACACTATATAAATGGATTCATATGTATTTTTTTTATCCTCACCAGAGGATATGTTTATTGATTTTAGGAGGGGGGAGAGAGAAACAGAAACATCGATGTGAGAGAGAAACATCAATTGGTTGTCTCCCATACGTGCCCTGGCGGGGGATCAAACCTGCAACCTAAGCATGTGCCCTGACTTGGAATTGAACCCACGACCCTTTGGTGCACAGGACAGTGCTCCAACCAAAGGAGCCACCTGGCCAAAACTCATATGTATTCTTTCTTTGTCTGGCTGCTTAATGTTGGTTATGAGATTATCAGTCTGGTATAGCTATAGTTTTCATTACTGTATAGTATTCCATTACATGAATATGCTGCAACTTATCCATTTTATGTTGGTGGATTTGGGGGATGTTTCCAGTTTGGGGATATTATGAATCATTCTGCTGTGGATATTCTTGTACATGTCTCTTGGAGTGCATATGCCCTGTGAGTGGAATTGTTGGGTTATTTCACCATAATCCAGAGATCAGCAGAGCACCTAAAAGAATTAGAGAGTACACATGGAAGGGTGATTAAAGGGGAAAACGAGGCACGTAATAGTTGTCTTCAGTGTTTCTAAGTGCTCCAGGAAGGAAAAAGTGAAGACAATCCATTGTTGGTCCCAGAGTTTAGAATCACAACAATGGGTAGAAGCCATACATAGGGCAGTGGTTCTCAACCTGTCTTCAACAATGGAGCCACGTGGGGAGCCTTAAAAAGTACTTATGCCTGAGCTTTACCTATAGAGATTCTAATTTAATTGGTGTGAGGTGCTGCCTGGTCTTCAGGATAACACATTCCAGAGAGATTTTTACAGAAACTTTCTTTTAAAGCTAATATTTGATTAATCAGCAGCTTCGGTTTACTAGAAAAAAAATGTCACTCCCCCAAACTGATTAAATGAGGTCTTGCTAATTTCTAACTCTATTTTGAAAAAAGTTCAAACCTCAGAACAATAAAAGAATAGTACAATGAGCTCGTGTACTCTTCAGCTAGATTTATAATTTTTAATATTTCTCCACATTTACTATATGTCTTTCTAAATATACATACTGTTATTACTGAACCATCTGAGGCTAAATTGAAGGCCCATCATTCCTAAATACTTCATGATCTATCTCCTAAGAACAAGGATATTTTCTTACATGACTAGGGAACAATTATGTAATCCACAAAAGGTATATCAATAAAAGAGTCTCTTCTAATATATAGTCCATATTCAAATTTGCCAGTTGTCCCAGTGACATCCTTTATAGCAATTTATTTTCTGTTTTAAGGTCCTGTGTGGGAACACATTGCATTCAATTGTATCTCTTTAGTCTCCTTCAATTTTTTTTAATATATATATTTTAAAATATGTATTGATTTCAGAGAGAGGAAGGGAGAGGGAGAGATAGAAACATAAACGATGAGAGAGTCATTGATCGGCTGCCTCCTGCACGGCCCCATTGGGGATCGAGCCCGCAACCCGGGCATGTGCCCTGATGGGGAATCGAACCATGACCTCCTGGTTCATAGGTCGATGCTTAACCACTGAGCCATGCTGGCTGGGGACCATCCTTCAATTTTTGTCTTTCATGATGTTTTTGAGGTCAGGACAGTTTGTAGAATGCCCTCAATTTGGGTTCTTATGATTGGATTCAGGTTAGAAATACTATGTAATGTCAATGTGTCCTCAGAACATCACATCAAGAGGCATGTGATGTCAATTTACTCTCTTATTGGTGCTGATAATATTGACAACTGGGTTAAGGTAGTGTCTGTCAGACTTCTGCAAGGTAAAGATACCTTTTATTCTTGGTAATTAAAAACTAATCTGTATGCCTGGCCAGCGTGGCTCAGTAGTTGAGCACTGACCTATGATAGAGGAGATCACAGTTTGATTCCCAGTAGGGGGTGTGCAGGAGGCAGCCACTCAATGATTCATCATTGAATTTTTTATCTCTCTCCCTCTCCCTTGCTCTCTCTAAAATCAATAAAGACATATATATATTTTTAAAACTAATCTGTACAAATACCCTGTTCCCCAGCAAATTTTCACCAATAATTTTAATGCCCAGTTCCCCAAGACAATTATGAGGCTTACAAAATGTTGATATTTTAAGTTTATCGTTCTACGCTTATTATTTGGCATTCTACTATGAAGAATGTCCTTTCTCCATAATTTATTTACAATTTTTAGTGTCAATGTGGTCTCAGATTGTTCTTTAGTTCAATTTATTACATCCTTTACTGTCATCCTTCTTAAAATGTTTTGTTGAGGTATAATTTACATACAGTAAAGTATACAGATCTTTAAGTGTGCAGCTTGATGAATGTTTTGATACAAACACACCTGTATAATTGCCACCTAGGTGAATAGACCATTTCTAACACACTAGCTATGCTCATTCTACTGGGATGTTACTGCTTCTAGGCCCTTTCAGAGGTTAGAGCTAGAAAATACCTAATTTTATGTATTTTAAATCTATCTTTAAAACCACATCTCTGATTTAAATCAATCATAAGGTTCTTTCTCTCCCCATTCTTTTGTTGTTGTTAATCCTCACCTGAGGATATTTTTTCCATTGATTTTTAGAGTGGAAGGAAGAGAAAGAAACATCGATGGGAGAGGGGAATACCAATCAGCTGCCTCTTGCACGACTCCCCCCC